TGATTTGACGCTTCTCTCGCAGCTCTCAAGATTCTCTCTTTGTCTTTGAGTCTTGCTAATTTGACTATAACATGTCTTGGAGAAGATCTTTTCGGGTTGAATACGTTTGGAGATCGTTGAGCTTCCTGGATCTGAAGATCTGTGATTTTTCCTATACCTGGGAAGTTTCCCGCCACTATTTTGTTGAATATGTTTTCAGTGCAGTCTCCTTTTTCCTCCCCTTCTGGGATACCCATGACTCGGATATTTGAGCGCTTAAGGTTGTCTGATATCTCTCTCAGATTTTCTTCAATGCCTTTGATTCTTTTTTCTTTTTCTTTGTCTGCTTGTGTTATTTCAAACAGCCCATCTTCAAGTTCAGAGGTTCTCTCTTCAACTTCCGCAAGCCTGCTAGTTAAACTCTCTGTTGTGTTTTTTATTTCACTGAATAACTTTTTCAGTTTGGCAAGTTCTACATTTTTTTTCATGGCATTGATTTCCTTGTACATTTCCTCTTTCAGGTACTGTATACTTTTCCTCATTTTATCATGATGTCTAGCTGAGTTTTCTTGTATCTCATTCAGATTCCTTAGAATTATCACTCAAAATTCCTTCTCAGTCATTTCAAGGGCTTCTTGTTCTATAGGATCTAGAGCTTGAGATTTATTATCTTTGGGTGTTGTACTTTTTTGATTTTTTGTATTTCTGGTGTCTTTTCTTTGATGCTTATTCATTGTGGCAGGGGGTTTCACAGTCCACAGTTTGACACTATTACCTTAGTAAGATGTTGCTGTGGTTGCCATTTTGGTATGGCTACCTCAGTGACTGCTCAGTTGGCCACTAGTACCTTGCATGTGTGGTTACCTCGGGTCTTGGGCCTCTCCGTGGAGCCACCTCTCTGGTCAGCTTGTACTCTGCCCGGCTGCTGGGTGACGGGGCGGTACCGCAGGGTGTCGCTCTTGCCGCTGCCAGTTACCCCGCTGCTGCTGCCGCTCACGCCACTGCTGCCGGCACCACTGCCGCTCGCTCGGCTGCCGTCGCTTCCCCTGCTGCTGTCCCCGCTACCGCTGGTGCCGCTGCCGCTGGTTCCTCCACTGCTGCCGCTGTTACCCCTGGCGCCGCTTCCACCACTGCCGCTACTGTTGAGGACTCCGCTGCTCCTGCTGCCGCTGCTGCCGACTCCTCCGCTGCTGCCGATGCCGCCGGTTTCTCCACTGCTGCTGCTGCCACTGGTTCCTCTGCTATTGTTGCTGCTGCTGCCCGCTCCGCTGCTGCTGGTTCCTCCGCTGCTGCCGCTGCCGCCAGCTCTGCTGCCGGCCCTTCCTCCACTGCTTCAGCTGCTGCTTCCGCGGGCGGGCACAGAGTCGCGCCGTCACTGGCCGCAAGTGGCAGTGGCTCCAGCCTTTCTAGGGGCCAGCTCTGGCATTGGGCTGGGGCAAGTCACTACCTTTTCTTCTTTCCAAGTAGGCACTGTGATTTCTTCCAGTCCCGGGGGCCCCTGAGCCTTGTGTTTCCACCACTGCCCCTGCCTTCAGACTGCCATCTGTTTCCGTATCTGCTCTTTCACCCGACTGACTGAGAGATGCTGTTTCTCATGCTCCTATGTCTACAAGCACTGTGGCTCTCCCTCCGCAGGAGCTCATTCACAGTTTCAGAAGCTTAGCATATGGCCTTATTTAGAGATAGATTCATTGCAGATGTAATTCATTAAGATGAGGTCATTTGGGTGTGTCCTGTCTTAATCCAACCATGCAGCAGATTCAGTATCTGGTGGGGGCCCTCTGTGCTTCCAGGATGGTGCCTTGTTGTTGTGTCCCTAAGGATCGGTCAGCAGGAGCCAGCGAGGCAAGAGCGGCTTAAAGAGACCATTCCAGGTAGGAGAGCAGCACGTGTGAAGCCACTGAGGAGAGCTGGAGCTGCTCCGCCGCGCTGCTCCCCTCGCAAGTCTCCCCTGTTGGTCGCTGCCGCTGCTGCTGGCACCACTGCCACCAGCTCCGCTGCTGCCGCTTCCCCCACTCCCACCACTGCTGTCGCTACCACTGGCACCACTGCTGCCGCCGGTTCCTCCGCTGCTGCTGCTGCCACCGGTTCCTCCGCTCCTGCCACTGCCGCTTCCCCCGCTGCTGCCGCTGCCGCCGGCTCCCCTGCTGCCTGTTCCTCCACTGCTGCCACTGCCCCTTCCCCCGCTGCTGCCAGTTCCTCCACTCCTGCCGCTGCCACTGCATCCACTGTTGCTGCTTCTCCCGCTCTCGCCGCTGCTGCCACTACCGCTGGTGCTGCTTCCCCCTCTGGTGCCGCTGCCGCCGGCTCCGCTACCACCATTTCCTCTGCTGCTGTAGCGGCTGCTTTCCCCGCTGCTGCCAGTTCCTCCCCTCCTGCCGCTGCCACTGCATCCACTGTTGCTGCTTCTCCCGCTCTCGCCGCTGCTGCCACTACCGCTGGTGCTGCTTCCCCCTCTGGTGCCGCTGCCGCCGCTACCGCTGGTGCCACTTCCGCTGCTGCCGCTGCCGCCGGCTCCCCTGCTGCCTGTTCCTCCACTGCTGCCACTGCCCCTCCCCCC